AGCCACAGGGGTGATGGTGTTATTTCGGGTTGTTTTGGTGAGTGCTATGAGATGGCTGCCACCCTCCAGGAGAGGGGCCCACAGGCTGTTTTAAGGGAGGGGGAGATGTGTTCTGTGCTTCCGGGGGTCAAAGAGGACTGATGCGAGCCAGACAGAAAAGAGTTTTTGGTTCTATGGAAGGTAAAGTTTTCCACCAATGAGAGCTGCCCAAAAGTCGGTGGGCCCCTTGGGAGGGTGTGCCCATCACTGCAGGGGCTAAACAGAAGTTAATGGGGTGGCGGGAGAGAGGTTCCCTGCTCTGACACCAGACTGTTAACTTCTGCAGTGTCTCCAGAATTTGTTGCAGATGTTATTCCATGTTTCTCTCTACTTTGGCTTCCATTACCACCCAAATATGGAGGCAGGTGCTCCCTGAGCTAGCATAACTCTAGCTCTGTGTCCTTGAGTCCATCAGGCATTTTGGCATGGATGATCTAAGGTCAAGCTCGGTAGGAGCTATTCTTCTCCCTAACTGTGCCCATTTGCTCAAACCTTCAATACCTCCTTGACTCTTCAGCCCCTCCCACCCATACAGATAACCCCACACCCAACGGGATGGGTCAGTGTCCAGTTCCTATCTTAAAATACTTGTTTTAGGTGGTTTCCTTCTGCTGCTCTGACCAGTGGCAATTTCATGAAGGGGAAAAGGGTGAAGAAGAGGAGAAGGCTGGCTGGCTCCCTGACTTGGTTATTTCACATGCTTTAAGAAAGACCCCGTATTACAGTGACTACACAATAATAGATGCTTAATTCTCAGCCCTATGACAGTTTAGGCATGTCCAGGATTGATGACTCTGCAGGCCTAAGGTGTTATCTTTGCCAGCATGATCCCAGATGGCTCACCACATCTGTGCTGTAGAGGGGGAGAGGGAAGAGGAAGGAGAGAGTATGTTCTCTCACTTTAAGGGCATGATCCAGAAGTTGTACACATCAGGTTCCTCTCACACCCTATTGGCAAGAAAATGGTTATGTGTTCACACCCAGGTACAAAGGAGCCTGGGACTTGTAGTATTTAGGCAAGTGACTATGTGCCTAACTAAAAATTCTACAGGAGAATAGAATACATAAGAGAGAAGCTAGTGTTTTTTGCCATGGTCATTTTACACATTGCAATGTGAACTGCATGACAGCTAATTGACTAGATCTTAAGGATATAGCACACAGAAGCTTAAAGTATGAATGAATTTCTGTTGGCATCCAGCAAAATTCTTTATAGATGGGAACACTGAGCTCAGAGAGGGAAGTCACCTGTTAAGATTGCACAGCAAAGTCAGAGCTGGAACTGGAACATGACAAACTTTGGGCTCACTTGCTACAGTTTCAAAGAGACTTGGCAGAGAGGCAACAGCAGGACAGGTGTCTTGGGGCTGGAGAGGGGCCTCTTTGCCAGTGGCTCAGCCTTTTTCAGGGTTACTGTGTCTCTGAGGTGCCTCCAAGTAACCCTCGCTGTATCTTCAGTGGCATACTGGACTGCACCCTGGGGAATGGTGTGCATGTTCATCTGCTTGATGGGAATGCAGGCTCCTTGAGGACAGCACCTGACTGACTTATCTCCCTGTTCCCAGTGTCTGTCAACAGGCACTCAGTGAATAGTGAAATGAATTAGTGTGGGCCTCCCTGGTGGCGCAGGCAGTTGAACGCAGTTGAGTGCTGTGAAGCTGTCCACAGCCTTGGCAGTGCCAGTTCAATCCCCGCCGGCCGCAGAGCAACCCACATGGCATGGCAAACCTCTCCTGTCTCGCCCTCTGCTCCCCTCAGCAGTGTATTTCGGTCAGTCTGCCTGTTCTGCTCCCTGCTCTGTCTTTGGTGAATCCTCTCACCCTCCCACACATCTGGCCTATACCCTGGATCTTGTATAAATAAAATGAATCTTAAAAAAAAAAAGAAATGAATTAGTGAATACATGAAAGAATGTCTATTCAAGGTCTCCCTCAATCACAGGTAATAGAAACCGCACTCAGACCGGCTGAGGAAAAAATGTAGCTCCAGAGTCAGAGCAGTCTAAGTGTGCGTCTTGCTGAAGTCACAGCTGGGTCCATGGCTTCCTTGACTTTCATGTTGTTGTTAGCAGCTTTGCTTCAACGATATGCTGGTTAGCATAGATTGTCACTTGATAATGTGACTTGACCCCTCTCATCTTTTGGGAAGTGTTGTCCAAGCTCCCCCTGCAGGGATTGGGAGAATATGGGGTGCTGCTGGTGGTCATGGTGCAGGCAAGGGGGGAGGTCCCTTGTGGGCATCTCCGTGTCCAGGGCATCTTGGTATAGAGCCCAGTTTCAGCCCTTGTCTTCTGATTTCAGCCTTATGGGGGCACGTCTTGGCTGTCTCTCAGGGGTGTTCCTGTGGCTCCACTTGTGCTGAAGCCTGACCCTTAGGGATGTCCTGTGCCGCTTATTCCTGCTCCAATGGGCAAGCCAAGGTACTCTCTGGTCTTTCCTGGCAAGGTCCTTGGAATCCCAACATTCACCTGGGACTGGGATAGAGGAGGAAGAGCAGGAAAGAGGAAGAGGAGGAAAGAGAAGAGGAGAAGATAGAAGGGTGGGGGAGGGGAGGTGGAGAAAGACGGTTCCAGGGCGGCTGCTGCCTGGGATGAGAACTCCCAGTGGAAAAGGTGGGCAGGCCGGCCCATGTGGGTGTGTGGTCGGAATCTCCACGAGGCTCTGAGTGTTGGGGCTCCCACCCGTCAAGGAGCAGTGATGGGCTTTTTGTTTCCAGGCCTTCCTGCCCTTCCCTGAGCAGTGCTCACTTCTGCCTTTGATTCCAGGGGCCCAGCTGTTGGGGTAGGAACCTTGGTGCCCTGGGATTCTCAGATGTCCTCTGTTCTGTGCCGTCAGGCTTCTCTCCAGAATAGGCCATGAGGGTAGGAAGATTCCTAGGTCCTGAGTCCAAGAAAGGAATCAAAGGGCGCAAGCCTAAAGGCATCCCATCCTTGGTCTGCGTGGAGCCCTAAAGGGTCTGGTCAGGAGACAGCCGCTGCCCAATGCCCCACATTTATATAGAGGGCAGGCATTCCCGACACTGGGGAGTGACATCCCAGTGGCAAGAAGTAGCTTGGTGTATGGAGGAGACAGTTGTAAGAAAGGTCTTGAGAGCTGGGCAGAGGAATGTGGGTTTACTTCAGTGGAAAATGGGGAGCCATGGGAGGTTCTTGAGCAGGAGGGGCAGCAGATTCCTGTCTTAAGCCCTAAGAGGCAGTGGCCTCAGAGAATAGGCTTGGTGGGGACACAGTGGAGATAGTAGGGCAGTAAGGAGGGTTTCAGGAGTTGTGGTGGCACAGGTCAGGATGGCACAGGTCAGGCAAAGCAGCTGTGTGAAGGGTATGGCAGGTGGCCCAGGAAGAACATTCTGGGGGTGAAAGAGCAGTAGGGAGACTTGGACTCAGGGTGCTTCTTAAGCATTGGTCCCTGGGTCTTCCAGGGCAGGAGGCAGGGAGGTTACTACTGGTTTTTCCTGTGGGCTGTGGTGGCCCTTGGAGGACAGGATGCGGTGCCCGCTGGGGGTGATTTGATGAATGGAGTGGGAAGGATGCTGACTCAGCAGCCACAGGCGTGGAGGCTGCCAGGTTGGCCGGAAGCATCTGGGAAGGAAGTGGCTGCTTAGGGCTTCCCTGCTGCAGACAACGTGTGTGTGTGTGTGTGTGTGTGTGTAAGCTGGGTAGCACTGGGCTACCCAGTTTGGCCTGGGGGAGTCCCTCAGCCCAGCTGCTGGGTGTGTGGGGGTGGGGTGCTTGGCTGGAATCAGAAGGGGTGAGGCTGGGAGACCGTGACTGGAATTGATGCTAATGATTGCTGATGGATGAGGTTTGCTAGCTTTGCTCCACGAAAGGCAGAGTTTTGACACAAGGTTGGGAAACCCCATCCTCAGCTGTGCTAACCAGCAAATGACGTCATATTAACAATGTCACCTCACTTCGCCAGGTGCTCATTTCTTTATGAGACCACCCCATGTGGTTCAGAGAGTGCCGCAGGGATACACACCAGTATATCCCTGTGCACCAGTATAGTGCATTACTATTGGGTTGCAATAGGCTGATGCAGCAGCCTGGCAAGTAGGAACAGGCAACCCAAGGAAGACAACTTGAGGGGCAGCCAGGACTGGGAGCAGGACTGGACCCAGGGAGGTCCGGGGGTCCCCTGGCTCAGGTCTACCTTTCAGTCCTGCTCCAGCCCTACGGTAGCCACAGTCCTGGCCTCTTCATTTCTGGTGGGTCTTGGTCACTCCATGCACATGTTTATCTAGCTAACATCATCTCTCCAGACCCCCTCCCCGCCATATACCCAGGTGCCTCCTTGAACTCTGCCCTGAAGAGTCTGCACCAACACTGCTGACCTCATATGCCTGATATTAAGCCCCCATGTTCTTGTGGGGGATGTCATACTAGTTATTGGGCTCAAAACTATGCTTCCCCCCGCACCCCCGCTCCATCCTCCCTGTGTCCCCCAGCGCTGCTTTCCCCCAGGCCTGCTCACCCCTTCTGCCAGGGCTTCCCATGACCCTGCAGGTGCTGGCCAGGTAATCATGAGCCTCCAGTGATCCCAGCTGCCTTCAGGACACCTTTCAGACCTCTCAGCCTGTTAAGTCTGGTTGCAGCCTCAGCTCCTCCTTTGCCCTGCCAGCTGGTGAGCTGTGCATATTCTAGCAGCAGCAGCTAACTGAGCTCTGCTTGCTGCCTGCTGCCTGCTGCCTGCTGCTGTTTCCCTGTATCAGTATACCAACATCTTAGGTCTGAAAGGTGGATCCCAGCTGCCCTGCCCTGCCTCCTCTGGTTCAACCTCCCCAGTGACTCAATTACCTCCTGCCTGCATCTCTGAAAACACACCACTCGGCAGGGAGCCTTGGGTATGGGAGGGAGGCCTTCCCTCCCCCCAAGCTGATCCAGGGGACATGAAGTGACAGAAGGCTTGGGGAGGACCTTTTGACACAAAAACCTCACCAAAGGCCTCATTTCCTCTTCCTCACAGGCAGGGCCAGCCTTCCACCACGGAGAGCCCAGCTGTCAGCTGCCTCACGGGAAGATGCTACATCGCTGGGGCAGCCCTGGCAGGAGTGCGCCCGTGGCCACCACCCTGGGTGTCCTGTGGTTCTGCCTCACAGGTGAGGGGAGCAGCGTGGAAGGGCACCCACTCCCATCTTGGCTCCTGCAGCCTCACTGTTCCAGCAGGGATGAGAAGGTTTTGGCGATCTCCCCTGTGCCCTGTCCATATTTGTTCTACCTCTAGGATCTAATAGACAACTCGCTTTACATTTCTTGTGAACAGTAAATGCGATAATATTGTTTCTTGGACACACTGTGTGCATTCCTTTTCCTCCCCAGGGCCTTTGCACATCCTATTCCCTCTGCTGGAACTTTGCCCCCAGTAGACTGCATGACTTGATCCCTCATTTTGTTCAATCTTTGCTTAATATCACCTTTCCAGCAAGCTTTCCTGGCTACCCTGTATGAATAGCAATCCACGTCCTTCGTCTTACTTTATGCTTCTCCCAAGCATTTATCTCCACCTAACACATTAAGCATTTCCTTGCTTATTATTACCTCTACTGCTCAAAGAGCATATTCTATTCCCAGTGCCAGGATGGGTGCCAGCCACATAGTAGGTACTCAATAGCCATGTTGAGTAAATGATGTAAATCTTTCCACGTAGTGCTTGGCACAGAGCCAGAATGCAATAATGGCAGCTACTTTAATAACTATATCCTCTTCATCTTTCAAATTCTAATCTGTCTCTGAAGGTGAGGGGGACAGACAAACGACCTTGTGCTGCCACCAGCAAGACAAAGCCAGGTGTCTGGCGCCGTCTGCTGGTCACAATTAGGAAGTACATCTCTACCCGTGGCAGCTGTGATTTCTCTAGACAAAGGATGTTTTCTGGATTTCATCCCCTAAATGCCCCTTACAAGGGGTACACTGACCCAGCAGCTCAAGCTGGTTGGAGGCAGCAAGGACTCCACGGTGAGCTAAAGGCCTTTGGGATCTCTATGCACGGCAACATTATAACTCCCTCTGTGTATAATTCACAATAAAAATACTAATCATAAAGTGTTATTTTTCTAAATACAAGAAACCTTTAATAAGTGCTTTATTCAAAAGTTTTGTGTCAAGACTGTTTGAATTTCACTTGTTTTGAGTATGTCTGCTTTGCTGGTACCCAAAGCACATACTTAACTGACCATACCCAAGAATGGTAATGCCAGGGTAGAGGCACACCCACAGAACACAAAGGCTGTGGGGACCTCTGCTTCACTTCCAGGGCTCTTACAGAAAAGCTGGAACAGGTGGAGAGAGATTACTGGGTGGGGATGCCGCAGAGTAAATTCCCAGGATAGGTGGCAGGGGAACCTGCTGGCGGTGGGTTTCTTGGGTATGCTCCCCCTGCCTACAGTGAAGGTTGTGGTCCCCTGACCTGCAATCCATCAGCAAGCCTGTTGATTCTCTCGCTTTCACAAACCTTGAATCTGTCTCATTCTCTCCATCACCACTGCCACCTGTTGAAACTAAGCCATCACTGCTTCTTACAGGGACTGCTGAAAGAAATAGTCCATTCTCACTGCAGAATCAGAATGTGTTTCAAGCACTGCTGTCCAGATTATGCCCAGTCAGAATGCTCAGATGACTTCCCACTGCACACAGAAAACCCTGAATTCCTCCCTGCTGTCACAAAGCACTCTGTAGTCTGGCTTGGACCTGCCCCCCTGTCCAGAGGCTTTGGCTGTGCCTTTCTGGTATTTTCAGCTGCCAGCCGGGTCTTCCAGGGCCTTCCCACCTGCTGTCCCCTCTACTTGGAACACTCTTAAACTGACTCTTTTTCCTTCCTTTTAAATCTCAGTTTAGTATTTCTTTAGAGAGACTGTGCCTTACTACTACATTTGAAAGCTCGAGTATTCTTTCTTGCATAAAAGCTTAGGAAAATAGAAAAAAAACTTGTGATGATCCTTTCTCATCCAGAGAAACCTCCATTAACCTATATTACCAGAGCAACCTCTATATACATACATTCTTTTCAGACTCTTCTTCCCAATTCGTAAAGAGGATATATGCTTAATGGAGAAATAAGACCAGCACATAGGTACAAAGTACCTGCCAGATTTTGGGAAAAGCCACCACATTACTTTCTAATCAGTTGTCATCTTTCTTCACACCCCTCATCACAGGCTAATGAGAAGTTGTGTGCCAGTTTGTCCTTCTGTCCCATTAAAATGTAAATTCTGTAGGGATGTGACCTTGGTCTTGTTCTCCATTGTGTTATAACTTTTGGCAAATAGTAGGTGCTTAATGTAGCCACGTTGATTGAATGAGGACCACAAGTAATAAACTTACCTTGGGCTCAGGCCTTGAAGGTTGGGTGGAAAGGGCCTGGAGTTAACCTGAGAGGGGATGGGGACCATGGTCTTCCTCTCTGGCCCACGCTGATCCTCCGTCCCCGCCTCAGGCGCTGTGGAGGTCCAGGTCCCAGAAGATCCCGTGGTGGCCCTGGTGGGCACGGACACCACCCTGCGCTGCTCCTTCTCACCGGAGCCCGGATTCAGCCTGGCACAGCTCAGCCTCATCTGGCAGCTGACCGACACCAAGCAGCTGGTGCACAGCTTCGCAGAGGGCCGCGACCAGGGCAGCGCCTATGCCAACCGCACAGCGCTCTTCCCTGAGCTGCTGGCTCAGGGCAACGCGTCTCTAAGGCTACAGCGTGTGCGCGTGGCTGATGAGGGCAGCTTCACCTGCTTCGTGAGCATCCGGGACTTTGGCAGTGCTGCAGTCAGCCTGCAGGTGGCAGGTGAGCGCAGGAAGGGGGTGCCCTCCCCTGGTATATCCCTCACCCTTTCCACGACCCCTTAACCCTCTGCCCTAAGGCTGACCCCTGTACTCAACCCCAGGACCGCTTTTCCTCCAACATGCCCCCTTGCTTGATCTCACCTTGGCCTGTGCCTTCTACCCTCTGCACCCCTCCAGCTCCCTACTCGAAACCCAGCATGACCCTGGAGCCCAATAAGGACCTGAGGCCCGGGAACATGGTGACCGTAACCTGCTCCAGTTACCGCGGCTATCCCGAGGCAGAGGTGTTCTGGCAGGACGGGCAGGGTGTGCCCTTGACTGGCAATGTGACCACATCGCAGATGGCCAACGAACAGGGCTTGTTCGACGTGCACAGCGTCTTGAGGGTGGTGCTGGGAGCTAATGGCACTTACAGCTGCCTGGTGCGCAACCCGGTGCTGCAGCAGGATGCTCACGGCTCGGTCACCATCACAGGTAAGGGACAGACCAACAGCTGGAGATGAGTGGCGGAACTGTCGCTTTTTTCTAGACTGGAGCTAGCAGTCAGAAGAGTTTTTGGTTTTCCTACATTTTATACATTTCAGGTGTCTCAAATTCTCCACCCAAAAGTGCTTATAGAACTTGCTTTAATGAGCTAACAAGAATCATTTGTAATATTGGCCTCCTGAAAACACTTTAGGTGGCACTTGCGGTTCTATTCAGGGTGCTGAGTGTCTGCCTGGAATCAGGTATAGATCCCAGGTGTGGGCGGGAGGTCTAGGGTGTGGCGCAAGGACATGACGAGGCAGCACTTTGCTGCGGTAACTGCTCCTGATGATGAGAAGGTGGTGTTGTAGCCAGGATGCCATCTGATTCTGATATCCTGAGAGACAGCTGGCGCCCTCCAGGTGGCCAGTCCCTCACCCTGGTCCATGTAAGGACAGGAACAGGGCACGGGGCAGGTTTTCTGATCCAGCAGACCGGGTAAAGGAGGAGTCAGAGTCCTCAGTGGCTTTTGCAGGCTTTTATTTAGATTTACCAGGCATGTGGCAGGCAGGGGTGCTGGGGGGCTGGGAGGCTGGCAGTCCTCCCAGCCCCCAGCAAATCCTCACTCTATCTGGGCTCTCTGGCGTTCTCTCTGCTTCTCTTTTTCTCTCGGCTTCTGTTCTGCTTCTCTTTCTCTCCTGCTTCTGCTGGTGTCCCTGTGATGCCGCCCTTATAAACTCAGTCTCCCAGCCCAGGTGTACCCACTCCAGGTGCCCGCCATCAGGCATGCATTCAGGACCACAGGGTTCCCTCATCTGTCCTAATGGCGGGAGGGCAGAAAAGCCTGATCCTTTTTACCTTACCCTACATCCATGTCAGCTTTCCAGAGCTGAGCTCCACCAAGACGGCGACTTGAAGGGCTGGGCTGTCTCTGCTGCCCTCATGTGGCCAAGCACGAGATCTGTGCCTCCATTTGGGATTCCCTCAATCTCTGGCTTTGGACTCCTAGCCCAGACACCCTTCCCATCCTTTAGTGTGCCCCCTGTGGGCTCTGGCTCACACACAGGCCGAGAAAGGTAGTCCCCATCTGTGTTTGGAGTTCAGTCTGGCTCTTCATTCTCTCCCCCTCGGCCGACTGAGCTTTCCCAGGGACCTCCCCGCATAGTCTGGGGTCAGGACAGCAGATTCTGCGTGGTTTTCATTGTTTCCCTTCCCATGACTTCCAAGAGAGAATAAGAGAGAATGAGAAATACCAGCTATTCAGGGCAGTGATCACAATGGGTGGGCATGGTCAGAGAGAGGAGTCTCCAGGGGTAGGTGGGAGTTCAGGGGCTCCATGACAGGTGTCTTCGGGAGCATCTGCACCCACCTGGATGGATATTTATTACTTGTGCAGAAAGGGTTTGTGGCATACACATGATTGCTTGGAGAGCGCTTACCTCACCTCAGAGAAAAATCTTTATTTCAAACTGCAGTAGCTAACATATAAAGTGCTTTCATTTCAGACACTAGGAAGCTGAAGCTAGTTTGGAAAGAGGACTTTCCCAAGGCCACAGACCAGCACAAGGACGCTGCCTCGGGGAGGGGGGGGGGGTCAGGCACCTCTTTGAAATTTTGGATAAATGATAAATGCAGTAGTTTGCATTTATATGTTGAGGGTTTGCAGGGGGCCCCTCTGAATTCATCCCTGGGGATCCATGGACCTTGGCTCCAGCACCCTGCAGTGAGCAGATGGACCAGGATCAGGACACGACTTTTAGCCTCTCAGCCTAATTTCCTCTCTCCCCGCCACCAGCCTCCTGTTTCTGTTAGAGCAGGGCTGGCCTACTTTGGAGCCCTTGGCCTGTATTTCGCTTTGGGCAGCTTTGTGCCTTGTAAAATATTCTGGGATTCAGACTTTTGGTTTTTCAGCCTGGTCTCACCTGTACTGGCTGGAGGTTAATGCTCTATGAGGAGGGGGCTTTGTGGAACTCACACTGCAGCCTGAATATTCAAGTCTGAACCCTGCTTTTTACTGGTCAGCCACAGGATGAACACAGAAAGAGCCCCTTCTTCCCTGGAATATTTCTGTGGCTCAGCTCCCTCCTCTGCTGTAGAAACCCTACCTGGGGGTTCCATACAGATTTCTTCCATGTGCTCCATGGGCTGGCTTCTGGGCCACTCCTGTCAACTGTTCCTCTTCTGCTTCCCAGGGTGATGGGTCCCTTTGTGTCTACTGTGCAGAGTAACCATTTTGTTAGCTACACCCAGATCTGCTGCAAATGCCAGCCTCTGTGCCAGGGCCTCCACTGCTGAATGGTTCCTGGCATCTTCTGCCCAGGGCTGCTGGCGCTGATGGCTCCAGAGCACACAGGAAAGCAGCACTGTCTTTTGTTAGATTTTGTGTTCCCAAGGCCTCTGCCCAGGACCCAGCATGGGTCAGGGGACTGGGCTGGAGGGTGATGTGCACCATGAGCCCACATAATGCTCAGAACAGTCTAGCTCTGACCCAGGTGTGTCTCAGCTCCTTCCCTCCTGTCCAGAGAGCTGGTAGGAGGCCGGCTGCATTTCCCGCTGGCCAAGACGCCTCATCTTCGGTGAATCTAAGTCTTCTCCCTGGCACCTTCAGTGCACGCCCTCATCCGAACACACAGACCTACAAACATTTTTTGTAAAGGGTTGGGCAGTAATATTTAATGCTTTGAGGGTCACATACCATCTCTGTCCTGCTGCTTCTGCTTGTTCTTTTTCCCTTCCCTTCTCCCTCCTTCCTTCCTCTCTCTCTCCTCCTCCTCTACTTCCTCTTCCTCCTTCTTCCTAACCCTTTACAAATGTAAATACCATTTCACTTGACAGGCTGTACAAGAACAGACCACAGGATTGGTCTGCAGCTCACTGTTTACTGATTCCTGAGCTATAGGAAGGGGAATCACCAGGTGGGGCTGGAGTAGTGAGGGGGTCTGGCAGGAGGAGGTGAATCTTGAGCCAGATGGAGAGTTCGGGAATACTTTTCAATAGGAGGAACTGACAGCAGTGGTGTGGAGACTGGAAGGAGCCAGTGGTTTCTGCAGAGAACGGCTAGGACACCAGTTTGACTGAAGCAGAGGCTCCTGTGGTGGAATTAGAAAGAAATTCTAGGAGGGATGTCAGCAGTCAGATTGTAGATGTGCTTGAATCATCCTGAGATTGAAGCATTAATCTAATGTCAGCAGGAACCCCAGAAGGTTGTTGAGCCTCATCAACTAGATGAGGCTTGCCAGATTGGGGCATGTCCACACCATCCACAGCTGTGTCAGGGTTTAGAGGGGGTATGGATGAGGGGGATGGGAGCTTAATTGAGTTCTCTTCATAGTGTTGGGGCCCAGCACTGTGAGTATGAGCCTCCCATTCATACTCTGAAGCCAGTGGGTGCTGACCTCAGGGCCATGGGTGTCAGGCATGACAGCCTTTCCCTCTTCTCCCTACTTATCTCCCAGGGCAGCCCATGACATTCCCCCCTGAGGCCCTGTGGGTGACTGTGGGACTCTCTGTCTGTCTGGTTGTGCTGCTGGTGGCCTTGGCCTTCGTGTGCTGGAGAAAGATCAAACAGAGCTGTGAGGAGGAGAATGCAGGTGAGTGAAAGTGTGTCTTTTGGTGCTTCATGTAGGTGTCAGTTTCCAGTGTCAGCATGAGTTGGGGGTATGCAAGTGCCACTGAATTGTGCCTGTGTGACCTTGAGGCTGAGTATGCTGTGTGTGTGAACAAGTGTGAGCCTGCCTGGCCTATGCAAATGTGGCAGGATGAGTGTGGAGGGGAGTGAAGTGAGCGGTGGGCACGTGGGGCTGAGCATGACGAGGGGATGAATGTGTCTGTGCAAACAAGTGTGACTGGGAGGGAGTAAGTGTGTGTGAATAAGAGTAGGTTTAGAGCATGGAAATTGAGCAGGACAAGTGGGATGCTTAGTGGGTTTGTGTGTCACTGTGAGAAAGTGTGTCGGCCTTAGAGTGGGAGAGTCTGAAGCCACTGCCATTTGCTGACTGGGGAGTCAGGATGAGTGGCCTTTGGATGCGGTAGCTGGCGAGTTTGACCTTGGTGGTTTGACCTTGGTGAATACGTTAACTGGTGAGTGGTAGGTGAGTGGGTGAGTCGACCTTGCCAGGTGGGACCCGTGTGAAGAAGCATGAGAGTGGCAGATGGTTGAAGTAGCAGATGACTGGGTGTCCGGAAGAAGAGAGCCCAGGTGAATTGGGGACAGAGTTGGGTACTTGACATGCTGCATGGTGGGGTGACAGGCAGATGGCGGGGTGGGCTGTGGAAGGATGGGTGGATGTGCATGCTGCAGAGTGGTAGGGGAGTGAGTAGATGGGTGAGGTGATGGGATGGATGGTCAGGTGGAGGGACGAGTTGCTGGTCCTTGGTTGGGGGCCCAGTGGACTCCCAGCTGGGAGCCCTCTCATCTGCCAAGGGCTCTGCTCTGTGCTGTCTTAGGCTCTGCCTCTGACCAGCACTTGGACCTCAGGTCCAGGCTGCTCAGCCTGCATTCCAAGTGCAGTGCAGTGAGGAGAGTAGGACTGGCAACATTTTTGTCTGCTCTTCCAGGAGCTGAGGACCCGGATGGAGATGGAGAAGGATCCAAGACGGGTGAGTGTGTGCATGGAGCTGGTCTTGGCAGAGGGAAGGACCCAGGGTGAAAGTGTGTCCTGTGCTTGGAGTCAGATCTTTGCCCAGGCCTGCAGGCAGATCTGCCCTGATTCTCTTCAGTGCTGCTTCTTCTCTCCTGCCTGCCTTGACCCATTAGAGGCCCATCCACCTTGAGTGACCCTGCACTGTGGAGTCTCATGGCTTCCTAGGGGGCTGTGAGGGCTCAGGGGACAGGACACCTTAGTTTCAGTTCTAGATTCAGCTCATATAAACTAGTGACCTTCAGCAAGTTGCTTTGCTTCTCTTGAGACTTTCTTCATTATCACTGCTTACCTTCATAGGTTGTGAGGGTTAGCACACAACCTGTCATCTCATTATATTATGTTCCTAAGGCCTGTGGCTGCTGGAGGCCTCACTGCCTTCCCCACCCGGGGCTCCTGGACTTGTTCTCACCGAGCCATCTGGGACACGGCCAGCAGATGCTGGTTCCCTCCCCACCTCCACAGAAGGAACGGCAGGAAATTGATACCTGGGGACTGCTGTAATGATGCCAGTTAATTCTCTGCTTTTGTGTCTGGGTGTGGCATGTGGAGACAGCCCTGGGATCAGGCCTCATTTCTTCATGCTCAGTTGGCAGCAGGGAGGAGTGGGGAGAAGCCATGGCTGGGAGATTTGGTGTCAGCTCTGCATGCTCCTATGCATTGTACATCTCTCCTACCTGGAGGGCAGGGGAGTGGTCCCCATTGCACAGACACAGCATACTGAGGTTCAGAGAGGGAAGTGAGAGATGACAGAGAAGACTTCTACTTGGGCTGCTGTGATGGTGCCCCCACCCTCTGATTCTCACTGCCCCCTGCCCCCTTCCAGTCCTCTAGTCCTCACTTTTTTGAACTCCCGTCCCTCTGCCTACCCCTTACCCCACCACTTTCCACTAACTGTGTTCCTTCTTCTTTTACAGCCCTGCGACCCCTGAAACACGCTGAAGGCAAAGAAGGTAAAGGCTCACAGCACTTGAGATCGCGTGTGTGCCCAATGAGGGTAGCAGGCTGGGGGGTGGTCACTGAAGGTGGGGGTAATAACCACCCTTTCCTAGGACCTGAGGCTCCCTCCCCAGAAGAGCATGCCGTGATGTGACAGAGGGAGGAGTGACCAAGGTCCCCACTGCTCTAACAACACCCCAACATGGCAGAGCCTTGCCCAGGATGGGAGTTTGTGTCTCTCTCCTGTAATGGCCTAAGCATAGGGTACCTTATGGCCCCAGGTGTCCAGTTTCCATTTACCTGCTTTCTGACCTCTTCAACTCGAAGCTTCTATACCCGGGTCCAAGGTAGTTACTCCAGCTCCCATGTCCTCTGCAGAAACAAGGGCGGGGGGGGGGGGTGTGCATTTTTTTTAGGGCTTGACTAGGAATGCCTCATGACATGTCTGTTTACATCCCAGTGGTCCGAACCTAGCGATGGACTCCTAACACAAGTGAGGCTAGGAAATGTCTCTTCAGACGGGCAGCCCTGTTCCTGTGCCTCATGGGTGGTTAGTGAATGTTCACAGTCATTATTGTTCCCGTATTCTAACAGCAGCAGTTACGTTATTAGGGACTTTCAAGTGTGGAGGGTGGTGAGTTGATCTTGGTGGGTGAGTAGGGGGCAGGTGAGTGGACATTGGGGAGTGGGTCACTTGGAGGTTAGTAGGAGATTTTTTCTTATTGAAAGTAGCCAACAACCGCATATATGTGTTTATGTGGAAATGTGTGTTTTGAAAAAAATATTCCTTGGTACAGATTAGCCCCCAGATATGGGTGGCTTCCACTTAGAGAGTCAAAGCAGGTTGTCAAATGTTGTCTTTCCTGGATTGCTTTGGTGTCTCTTTTAGGAAATAAAGTTTCACCCAATTCTTGGACATTGATCTCTATATTTGGCTTTCCTCTCAGGAGAAGGGAAGTTTATGGCCCTGTCCTCAGGAAATGCCCAGAGGCAGGGGGGAGGGGACTCTCAGATACCTGTGCAAAATTTAATGTGTGTGATAGACTCAGCCTTCTGTGAAGAGCAGTGAGAGGTTTTAGGAAAGGCAATGATGTATTGAAGAAAGAGCTCCCTGGCTGGCAGGAAACCTTGGCTCTCGTCTGTGCCCATGACCTCCCAGGGATTGCTTCCTCATCTGTGAAATGGGGCAAAAGCTTGTCATACCTCCCTTATGAGGTGGTTGTCAGGATTAGGCCAGGCGACAAATGCAGAAAGGCTCTCTAAAGCAAGCTTTAAAATGCTGTAGAATGTTCAGTGGCAGTAATGAGGCCTATATTGGGGTCTGGAGAGAGGGAAATAAATGTTCTCCCTGTTGTTCTGAACCAAATGAGGCATACAAGGACCCGGCAGATGGAGATAAAATGTCCACTTGGTTTCTGAAGAGAGCTGTGGCCTGGCGTGTGGAGTGGTGGCTTCCTGGCCCTGCTCCCCCACACAGCAGTCGGGCCCCCAGCCTCAGACCATGCTGGAGAAGCACAGGGGTGGTCCCCAGAAAGGAGAGCTACTTCCAGGGATAGGTAGCCCTGAGAATGGGAGAGGGAAGGCTAGGGACACCCCCTCCCCCAGCCATTCTTCTAAACTCTCCTTTCAGGTCAGGGAGGTGACAGGGCTGGGGGTAAGAACCCACCAGGTACTTCTCTACAGGGAGGCCAGAAGCCAGAGGGAAGGAGGATCCCCACAGCATTGCTTTTGGGGAATCAGCGAGAAGAAGAAGGAAGAAGGGGGTTTCCTCCCAGCAGAGGGAAGTGGGCCAGGCTGGGAAGACAGATTGGTGGACAGGCAGGGGAGATGGGAAGGGAAAGCTGGCCAGGTTGAGGAGCCAGGGAGGTAGGAGCATAGGTGAGTAGGTTCATGGGGATTGAGAGGCAGCCGGCTGGATAGTCTCCCTCAGGTACCTGGAGGGCAGCCCTTAGCACAGGGGGAGCTGCTGGTCAGACTGCTGTGGCCACTCACACCTGCTCCCTGGGACCACAGACAAGGGCTTCTGGCACTCCCCAAATTAGAACTCCTGGCCTTTGACGCTTTCTCCCCTTTCTTGTTTCCATGAAATTCAGATGATGGACAAGAAATAGCTTGACCAGAGGACCGGCGAGCTGCTGTATCTACCCTGGGGTCCTGCCTCTGGCAGCATTGGGACCTCTGTGTGATTCCTGGGCTGGCAGCTGCCTTGTCCCCCCACAGAGACCCCCTCTGTAGCAGGTCTACTCATTCTCCAAAGGACACGAGCATAGACCACCCTGCAACCTTATTTCTCGAATGGACATGATTCCTAAGTCATCCTGCTGCCTTATTTCTCCAGTGACATGATCCGTAATCATCTTGCTGCCTTGTTTCCTGTGGACACAATCCACAGACCACCTGACACCTTATTTCTCCAGTGGACATGCTGCATAGACCATCTGGCTGCCTTTTTTCTCCAATGGACACATTATTCTCCGTCACATTTCTCCAAAGACATGATCCTCATCCTTCGTCTTGTTCCTCCAATGGACCTGATAGGCTAGTTAGCATTTCTCTGCCTTTTCTCCCGCCTGCCTATAACTTGGGCCACTGCAGCCTCAGTTTCTCCTCCTGTCTAGAGGCCTCCCCTGTGTTGGCCTGTTCCCTCCCACACTAAATGAAGACACCCCCACCCCAGAGACAGGGAGACATGTGGGCACACGTGCTGGAACACGTGTAGACTGCCCCTGTCTGCTCTCTTCCTTGGTACCCGGGACTGTGCCCTGTGAGGCCCCCTCCCCCCACTGTGGGACCAGGTGCTGGATGCGCTGTGCTCTGGGCATCCCTGTGGCCCCCCGGGATTAGCTTCATTGAGCAACCTTGGGGTGTCAGCTGGGGACCCAAAGTGAGATAAGGGCCTTGCCCTTCACCTGGGATGTCGGTGAGGAAATTGACACCTGCCTGCTATGGCCTGTGATTCACTTGAGAGCTCCTGCCTTGCTCCCTACTATACCCCTCTTCTGTGCCCACAGCTCCCTGGATGCCTAATCCTCTTCTATCCCCAATCCTTGCCTAGAGCAGGGGCAGGGCAGAAACCTGGAGAGAGGGATGGAATCTTTTGCCACAACTGAAGAATCTGACGGTTTCCATTGTCTCTCCAGGTGTGCAGGCGGCTGAGGCCCTCCAGGTCCCTAGAGCCATAGCACAGGGGGGCCATGGCGATGTGTCTCCCCAATCCCACCACACACATACACAAACACACACATACCATGGTGCTAATTCTGGGGCGAAGGCAGATACTTCCGACTTGTTTGTGGCCCCAACCTCTTGTCGAGTAAACTGATGTCCTCCTGCTGCCATCTCCCTTCTCCAGGAATGGAAGACGTCAGGATTTCTAATTTAAATGTGGGACTCTGAGGAATTTTGTTAACTGGGGGTGTTTTTTGGGAAAAATAAATGCCTTTGTAGAAACTTTTTTCTCTGGAAGTGTGTGAAAATCGGTTAACCATCAGGACTCAGGAAGAACTCTCTCCTGGACACTTCACGCTAGAGGGGGGGATGCCTGGGTCTCCCTACTCTCAAGTCCTTAATCTCCAGGTCTCCATAGCCAGTGCCCCACTCTTTGAACTGTTTCCCTCTTGGCCAAGTGAAGCAAGCTGGCTGTTCAGAAAGCAAAGGTTTTGGTTACTGTTTGGAACTCCTGTTCCTAGAAGTGGCTTCTCATTTCTTTGTCTGAGAAGACTCAGACCCTAGGCTTGTTTAGGGCCACTACTAATGCCCCCCTTTTACAGATGGGGAAGTTGAGACCCAGGAAGAAGCTGACCACAAGAAATGAGTTCTGCATGCTATTGAAGTCTGGCCCAGTGAGGTGGGCACCAGATTTGAGTCGATAGTCCCAATCCAGGTCCAGGGCCTAGCTGTGCCCTGTGATCCTGGGCAGGGCATTTGGCTTCTCTCTGGGTCTTAGTTTTCCTATATGAAAAAATGGGCCTGGGTTTTTACCACCTTCCATCTCCAAAGATTGAGAAGTGGGGTGGAATATGGTAGGCAAACAAGGTTCAGGGAGCTGGATTCAGGGGTGTGGAGCCAGCAGAGCATACTGTGCTCACTCATTGGCCTCCCCATTGTCCTCTGGGGTCTCAGCAGAGATCATGAATCAGTCCCAGAGCTCTCCCACCAGCCCCCCACACCGCAGGCACAGCAGGAGGGGCCTGGGCCGGGGCTTTGAACGCTTGGCTTTTGTTCCTGGTTCTGCTACTAATTCATGACCCAGTCCATCGAATCTCTGAACCTTAATGTCCTCATCTATTAATAGGGGTAAGGAGACCTGCCCTGAAAAATATGTGACCTTTTTTTTTTTTTACAAACTGAAGCTCTTATAAAGTCAATAGCACTAGGAGCGATACAGTTCACCTTACTTGAAGTCCCACCATTGTGCTCTGGGTGGGGTTTATGTTCAAAAGGCTTGAGCTAAGACTCTGCCTTCACCCCCTCCCCCTGCCCTGGCCCTTGAGCCAGTTGCTCACCTGCCTGACTGCACTTCATGCCCTCCTGTAAGGCGGGCACAACAGTAGAATCATAGTTCCTGTTCATAGAATAGTTGTGAGGGTGGGACAGGCAGGACCTAAGAAGACCCTGCAAACTAGCAAGTTCTGAGCACCTGTGAAGGGTGATTTTTCCTTCCCCGCAGCCAGGGCTGTCAACTCTTGCTCCCTAGGTGATTTTGGAATGGAGTGCAGTGTCCCCAGAGCATGCTGAGTGTACCTTAGTCTGCCCATCTGTAAACAGAACTGTAATGGGCAACTGGTGCTTTTTTTCTCTTTGCAGAACCCAGGATCAGGCTCAGACATATCGTATCAAGTGCTTGAGGGAGGGACCCAGCGGGTGTGGGGCTTGCCGGCCCGCTGAGGGGAGGGGAGAGGAAGGTGACCACTAAGTCTCCCGGTGACAAGTGCCCCAGAGAGCAGTATTTTTAGCTGTCCTTCCTGGGCAAATCTCCAGCTCCTGCATTTTAATGGAGAAATAATTCTCACAGTGCGACAAGCTGTAGCCTGCAGGTGTCACATCCATATTAAAGACGGGACAGAGCAAGGGAGCAAGGGTTCATTTGCCCCTCTGGAGATGTGACCAGAATTCACCTCCGGGATCATTTGTAAGCAGGGCTGTGAAGACCAATTAGTGATCTGACTACTCTGAGGAAGGAGGCTTGGGCTGGGGGAGGGGTATGTGCAAAGGGCATGGCTGGGGGGGCCCTAAGTCCTCCGGCTTTTCTCTACCTGCTTCTTCCTTCAGAGTGCTCTGCTTCTGACCACAGGCATGCTTGGTGCCTCCACCGGGGTCTGAGAGGCCCCTGACCTTGCTGGTAGGAGGCTTGGCTGAATGGGGCTGTGGGCCCACAAGCAGAGACCCTGGCAGATTCTCTGCCTAGCAATGTCCAAAGACCCAGTGGCAAAACCCAAGTCTTAAACAAATGTGAAGCCAAAATGGTCCTGGCATCCTGGCAGGAGCTGCAGGGTGGTGTGAGGTGAGGGGCCAGAACATGGAGGCAGCAGATCCAAACATAAATGCAAATGGCACTGAAATGTCCTCACCTGCAGTTCCTCTCCTGGGAGGGAAGCACTATTATTAAAGGTTTGCTGTCCTTCTAGGCTTTTCCCTGGTCTTACTTACACATTTATAAAAATGCAATCCTGCATATTGTTTTGCGATTTCTGTTTTGTTTTTCTTCACAGTTTTCCCAAGTCAGTTCTCATAGAGTACCTTGGTCCTCTTTCTTTGCTTTGTATGTTGAAGTATAACATACATCTAGTGTTTAAAAGGTGCTCATCTTCAATGTAGGGCTCCATGGATTTTCACATAGTATGTACCCAAGTAACCCTCACCCAGAGGAAGATCCATAACACTTTCAGAATCCAGCAAGTTCCCCTGACTCACTTCCCAGTTAAGACCCACAGACGCTATTCTGGCTGCTTTCATCACAGGTTCATTTCACTTGTTCTTGAGCTTCTTATAAATGGAATTCTACCGTATATACTATTTGGTGTTTATTGTCTTGCAAAGACCTCCCTCATCCTTTTTAAATGGCTACGTGGTAACTAGTAACTCATAGTACTAGTATTCTAGAATAGATTTTGCCAGTTCCTATAGTTTGGATACAAATAATGCAGCTTTGTGCTCCAGTTTCTGCAGTATGGAGCCCCAGAAGTGGAATCTCTAGGTCCAAGCATGCATTTTAAATGTTGGTAGAATTGCCAACTGTTCCAGCTGCCCTTTTAGTCAGTCCTCGCAAGCAAGAATGTACAAAGAGCACTTAGGGTCACTGGCAAAGCTGATTCTAGGCAGCACAGGAAGAATGCTGGGAACTCCCACTCCCCTGGGCTCTCAAGAACCTCGGGGGTGGAGTATGATTCAGCAGTGGGTGGGTCTGTGGTCTTCTCTTCCAACCCTTTTGATTGCCTCCTCTTAAACCTTGTGGCCTAAGTGGGCTGCCTCAGTTTCCCAGGAACTGTCTCCTTGGTTCTGGGATGTCCTGGAAGTGAGTCTGCCCACTGCTGGATGCTGTGCTGAGGTCTGAGTAGAAGAGGGGTTAAGGAGGAAAGTTGAGCTCTGCACCCTGCCCCAATGAATGGGGGTGAGTTCTTCAGCACCTCCCGGGATGCAGGTGCCTCAGGGCAAGTTAAATTTGCACTATGTCTGAGGGTGTTCCTCACCTGCCATTTGCGCCTCAGTTCCAGGTAATGGTGATACTATTTCCCCACTAATGAGCTGTTGCTAGTTAGCACACATGCTAGCCTTCAGAGACATGCTAGCCTTCAGAGACGGAGGGTCTGTGACCTTCACCCCAGCATCTGGGCAGCCAAACATCTCCCCTCAATATCCTGAGCTGATAGGATTTGTCCACATCCACCACCCTCCTCTGGGTAGAGCTCATCATTGTCCTTTCAAATTGAGGCTCTGGCAGGGGTCAACATGCTCCAGCTCCTTGTAGATCAGCCTTTCACCTCCTGACCCTGAGCGCTATGCTCTCGGAGCTACAGTTCCTGATCCTATTAGCCCCTGGGTCCTTAACCCTGGCGGTGCATTAGAAGCACTTAGGAGATTTCTAATAATAATGGTGCCCAGGCTCCATCCCTAGAAGTTCTGATGTAGTTGGTTGAGATCATTGCTAAATATTTGATGTGAACATCCCAGGGCTCTAGCCTGGCTTCAAGTTAATGCAAAATAAGATTCAGAGGGACAATCCTGCCCAGAGACCTTTGAGATCAGGCACCTGAGACAAACCAGCTATTCTCAGTGATCACTGACTCAGACCAAGGAGCTTTGTTTTCTCACTAAAAGGTATATAAAGTGTGTAGGGTAAATGATTTTCAGGTTTTTCTGCCCTGGCCATTAGGTTTGTGCTGCCTGATGGGCACCTACATTTTGTTACATTGTTATAAGTTGCCTTTACTTCTGTGGGCTGTGGCAGCAGTATTGAGATATTGGAGGAGAGAAGCAGAGGCAGGAGAGAGGCAGGAGAAAGAAGGGGAGAAAGAATGCCAGAGAGGCCCAGAGTGAAGACTTGCTAGGGGCTTGGAGGCATAACGGCCTTCTGCGCCCCCCTCTGCCCCTGCACCCCTGCCTGCCGTGTACCTGGTTGCTGCACTACATGTAAAAGCTCAGTAAAAGCCTGAGAAAGCCACCGAGGGCTCCAGGAAGCTCCTTTATCCGTCTGGGCTGCTCGAATCACAAAGATATACTGCTCTGTGGCCTTCCTGCCACTTCAGGTGCAAAGAAGTCTGAGGGGTGGAATCCTGTGTATCATGGTAGAGGGACCTACTCTCCATGTTATGTGACAAAGGGGTGAGCAGGAACCCCAAGTTCCAGCCCTCAGTCAGACCAGGGAAGGATTTGGGGGTGAGAAAGGATGGAGTGCTATGGATATTGGCTCAGTCCCTTCAGCATGAGTATAGGAAATTGAGGGGCCCTCCCTCTGCCCCCTCCTCACTGCCTCTCTCTATCCCTTGTTGCTCCCAGGCCTCCAGATGTGCTGTCATGTGGCTAGTCTTGGCTCCCCCCTGCTCGGGCACCGTGTTCTCCATGAAGGGAAGGACCCATCTGTCCCTCCCTGCAACCCTGGGCTTGTGTGCGCGAGCCAAGCTCAAGGAAGAAGCCTGTACATCTTCCTACCTTCTTCCCTTTCTGCCTCAAACTTGCTTCTGCCCCAGGATATCCTGGGGCCTCTAATCTACTGCAGACAGGCCATGTTGAGAGTGATTGGAGCATAACATCTCTCCTCTACCTTGGCTCCTGCCCCCTCCTGCAGGGTCTCTGGCCTTTTTCTTCCTTAGTCTCAAGACTTACCTCCCAGAAGTCTACCTTTTCAGCCCTATAATTCACAGGCCATTGGGATCCTGGGTCCTGGTCTGTGTGCTATTCCCTTCCCTTCCTGCCTCTTGTGTTTCAATATCCTCTTCAAAATAGTGCCTGCAGGATGTGACCCCTGTT